TGTGTGTGTGTGTGCGTGTCTGTGTGTGTGTGTGTGCGTGTGTGTGTGTGTGTGTGCGTGTCTGTGTGTGTGTGTGTGTGTGTGTGTGTGCACGTGAGAGAGAAAGCAGAGGTCTTTCCTTGGCTGTGTGTAAGGGATTCCCGTTTAAATATGATAGCCTGTTTAAAGCCTTTGATCACCCTGTGATATTTAGGCCAGTAGCCACAGTCTTCATGGACTTTTCTGTTTGCCCCCATGATGCAGAACTTCTTTGTGTAAGATTAAAATAAAACATATTGTGAAATTCCTCCCCAACAGGAACCCTTCACCACATTCTTCCTGAATGCAAACAGCAACAAGTTTGATCACCCTGACCGCACATTTTCGTCCATCACCCGCTCCTGGAGGAACTGCCAGCGGGACACCTCTGATGTCAAGGTGAGCAGGGGGGCCTTTGCTGTGCGAAACCCCCGCCCCCCCCTCCAAGAAATAGCTCGTCTCTCGTACCCTCCACATATTACACACCTACGAAGGCAGCTAGCAGGCCAACTACTATTTGAATGAATATCAGCACGTTAGAGCCTAGCCTTGAGATTTACACAAGAACCAACTAAAGAATATAATGACTTTATGTCTAAATTATCAGAAAGTGGAAAAATTTACATGAAGGCTGAGATTCGATTCACTTGGCTTTTTCATTGTAACTTTAATTTTCCATATTTGTGAATTCATAAACGGATTAATCTCAGAACTATATTAATCTATCCCATTTGAAACTGGTGATTATGTGGCTGATTTGCATAGATATTTGTATTTATGTCATTGAAAATCAAATTGGCTCACATTAATGGTCGTGAGTACTTTATTAGTAACCCACAATGATGTTATGAAATGATAATCGACAGAGGATTATGTTGTGCGCTAAGCTCAAACACTGAAGGCCTCCAAGATCCAGTGCTTTAGGGATGAAAAACGATAGCGCAGGAAAATGCACTAAGCATCTTAAAGTGGACCTGGAATGGTATAGGTGGCTCTGGCCGCTGTCTCCCATGGAGGGGGCAGGTACATGGTCGGGGGCAGTGTGGCTCACCCTGCAACAAGCAGCAAGAGCAGACTGTGACCTCATACTGCCAGGCTTTTCTAGAACACCAGCACTGGGGCAGGGAGGCCCAAGGCCATTGATAATTAATTACTGACAAACTCTGCTTAAAGTGTACTTCTTTATGTCCTGACAAGGCTTTTATGAGTCCTGGCCACGGACGACGGCCAACAGCGTGACTTCAAAGTCGCTCCAAACCACTGTATCGCATTTTGTTCGTGCACAGCGGCCAACAGCGTGACTTCAAAGTCGCTCCGAACCACTGTGTCGCATTTTGTTCGTGCACAGCTTGAGTCCGACTCCGACCTGCTCTAAGTTTGGGGGAGTGTTTCCTAGAGCTGGGCTCATCCTCCATAATTTATCAGTGCGATGATCTCGGTCACACGGCTGGCTTGTTGTGTGTCACGCTGCTTCATTATAAGGCTCATTATAATGCATTACACCTCTGTGGCATATAGATTCTTTTGTTACTTTCATTGTCCACATACTGCAGCACCAGCTCGGCAGAATGCAGAATCTGGTTTGCTTTTTGACCATAGGGTCAGTTATTGAGGGTCTAATTATTACCACACATGTTCTGTAAGCCTAGTTAAATGCAGACACATTCCAATATTTAGCACCCAAGAGAATAGCTTCAAAACAAATGCAGGTCAGAGGAAATAAATGTGAAATCACTCCAAAAAGGGCAACATCTGCATATTTATGAAGGCTGCGATTTGATTGGACATTGCCAGGCCATTCACACCAGCTTGTGCTCTGAATGAGTTTAATCTGAGTTAAATGGCAGGGGCTGTGCCTGAGTGAGCTCACGGTGACATGATGTCCCTGGCCGCGAGGACAGCGGATGAGGGACAGCTCGCTTTAATATCAAAGGCATCCAGTTTATAAACTCCTCCTACCCCCAAATCATTCCAGAACGGGTTTAAAACCAGCGGATGATCCGGAAACGGGACGCCCCCCTGCAGTCTGATGACGTGGGAGACGCAGGGGGGGGGGATGCAGATGCACTTCCGAAATCATCAGCATTACAGACAACACCCCCCCCCACACACCCACCCCCCCCCCCCCACATTCCCGGGAAAGCTGCGGGGGTTCGACACCTGCCGGGGTCCCTGCCGCCGCATGGCGCCGCCAGCAGCGGCTGACAAGACGTCACGGAGACGACAGGGCGGAAAGCGGCGCGGTTAATGCGGCCGCCGTGATTGACTCGTTAGCCCATTACGGGGATGCGCTGGCATTAATGGCTGCCAGGGGAGGCGGCTTGAAAGCCTGGCTGCCAGGATTTAACAGCACTTCGGCTGAGCTACGGCGAGAACTTTACAAAGTTAGTAGGAATCGGTGGGGGGGGATCTCTCCTGCAGACATTGTCATTTTTACTGGGCTGCGTTAGTAACCAGCACTTCTAACTGGAGATTTTTTTTGTAATCACCCATAAAGCCTTCTCTCCACCTACGGAATTCTGTTTATTGGGGGGGAAAAATTTCCCTGCGCATTGCACATCCCGTGGTCGGATTAAGCCAGAGACTGCTGTCAGGGCGTGGGGTTCTGTCAGACAAGCGCGGGGTCACATTCCTGACACCAAACTCCCCCCATGTGCAGGGGTATCTCTCGCAGTGTATTGTGGGAAACGGGGGCTTCCCAGGAATGCTGCAGCTTTGGCTGACCCCGAGGTCAGGTTTGTTTCCCAGGTGACAGGGATGCATACGATCGGTGGTGGGAGGGGTTGGGTGGTGGGAGAGACCTCACTTAAGAAATGGCCCAGCATGTCTATCCTTTTCCTCAGAATTCTAATTGCACCCACCTGCCAAATTATTCCTGCGCTCCTATTGCCTTAACAAGCCGTGCTGTGTGATTCTTCTGGGAACATCTCCTCTTCAGGCTCCTTTTATTGGTCTATCGATAAAACTGGAAAGACCTGAGCATCCCATCAGATGCATACCACAACCACCCCCCCCCCCCCCACATCTGTTAAGAAAGCTATAAACAGTCACTTTTGCCTCCTGTGTCTCAAATCGGTTTTATCTAAAAGTGTCTGATTGTCTGACAATGTGTGTGGTGGGTTTTGCTGCACCTGAGCGTGTTAACTTCCTGAACACATGGACTGTCTTTGCCAGGAGCTCATCCCCGAGTTCTACTACCTGCCCGAGATGTTCGTCAACAGCAACAAGTACAGTCTGGGGGTGCGGGACGACAGGGTCTCCGTGTGCGACGTGGACCTGCCCCCCTGGGCCAAGAAACCCGAGGACTTCGTCCGCATCAACAGGATGGTAGGGAGTGGCTGGCCTGCAGGGGGGGGGGGGGGGGGGGTCACACCCAGATGACGTTGGGGGTCGTCATGGGGTTTCCATGGGGATCCTGTGGCAGAGACGCATGACCTCGCATTACGCAAACTCAAGCTCTATGCTCGATACTAATGCTATGTCCCCTTGACCTAGGGCGATGTCACTTACAGTACTAAGTGTCCCATGTCACCTTAATTTGGACCTCATCAATCTTACTTTGATGATGCTCTCTTGGGGTGCTGCTGGATATTCCTAGGCTTGGCCCTTCACCCCCCCCACTCCCCCAGGAGCCAGAAATAGAGTATACTCACTATTACTCAGAGAGTAAGGCCTTGTCCCTCATCACATCCAGATGTGCCATAGAGCTCGTGGTGTCCAACACAGACAGCAATGGCGCAGTGGGAGGGATCTGAGAGGTCACAATATACACATTAACATGTAACATTACCTTTGCTTTTGCTGCTAAATTCTCTCCTCATCTCTCTTTGTATTCTCTACCTGTCTTACCCAGAATGCCTCACTCTCCCAATCTGCTGACGCATCTCTCTGCTCCTTCCTGTCTCTCCCCTGGCATTTCTGGCCATTTCTCTCCAATGACCATTATTCACACTCACCCCTGTATCCATACTGCCTGTATCCCCTGTTTCATTAATGGTGCCGGGGGGGGTCTCATACAGACTCCGCCCCGCGGAGAGAGAACCCGCCTCAGGACAGCCTTCAGCATGCACCGTGTAATTAGAGCTTTGCAGGTTGTTGTCTCGCTGCTACAAGGCGCCAGTCTCTTGTTATTTTAGACAAGTTTTGTTTGCAAACAGGACCGTAAACAATTTGCACCCCCAGCGTTAAGGCACAGACTGTTTACTCAGCGCCTGACGCAGACTGGTGTCCTCAGCGTCATCGTCTTCGCGTGGTTCAGCCTGACGTCACCATGGTGTGGCATTCACCCGGAATCTCCCCCCCCATCGTGACAGGCCCTGGAGAGCGAGTTTGTGTCGTGTCAGCTGCACCAGTGGGTTGACCTTATTTTCGGCTACAAGCAGCGGGGGCCGGAGGCAATGCGCGCCCTCAACGTCTTTCACTACCTGACATACGAGGGCACCGTCAACCTGGACAGCATCAGCGACCCCGTGCTGAGAGAGGTGAGTCCGCCATGCCGGGAGGGGGCCGCAGCTCACAGAGCGTTTGCACGTCGGCGCCCCCTGGTGCCCACCCTGTGTCAGTCTCACACCTATCACGCCCTGCCGGTTGCTGACTCATACTATTACTCCCCTTTACGAGTGACACCCTAATATCGAGCTAAACTGTACAGATTACACCAAATGTAAAGGCTACTTTTTTAGATTTTAGGGGGGGGGGGCATCTAGGGGCAGGGATCTTTTTCCTAAACTACCCAGAAAGGTCTGATTTGATTATCCAGAGTGATCTGATAAACTCGGAATGTATCCTTCCATCCCGGCTAATTAATAGGTCCGGTTTCGGCGGCGTGGCTCAGACTCGAACGGCTTAATTGAAAAAAAATGAGCTTGCAGCAGCTGGCCTATAGCGATGGGCCTCCAGCTCCCCCCCCCCCCCCCCCCGCCCGATATCCGCCATCTGTTGTATGCAAAAGAAGCCATTTATATACTGTCAGTTCTGAGAGCGCATTTATTTATCAAGTGACCGGCATGCAAATCACTCAGAGGCTGTTTTTTCTCTATCCGCTGGCTCTAATTATTAAACGGTGTGTCAGAGAGCCCCCACTTCCCTTCACAGCTGGGACTGCCACGACTTTACTCACGCTCAAACCTGTGGGGTTTTTTTAAGCTGCCAGAGTGTGGTTACCATGAAGTCGTCTGTGATTTTTGCATCCGACGGGGGTTCGGAACTGGGCATCATGTGACCAGAGCATCCTGATCATCCTGATCTCTGCGTTTTGGCATTCAGGACAACCTGTGGGGGTTGCTGGGAACAGCCGTGTTCAGTGGATGAGATGTCAAACGGATGTCATGGAACGTCATTGGACGCTCACTGTCACACACCAAACAGATACCTTTGAGAGCGTCACAGGGATTCGGGTACCTAGTGGTGATGGTAACGGGCCTGGAGGGAACTGATCTAGCAGGGCAGAACAGGTCAATGCAGACACATCGGGGGGTGAGGATGAGCCGTGATGAAGGGAATACCCCCCCCCTCACAAGAATTGCTATCATGCCCATGCATCAGAGTCGTGTTTCATGTAGATGCTGCCTCAAGAACAGCCTTACGAGTGCCACTCAGAAGCAGTAATGCCGTAATGCCGTGAGTATTTAAGAGGCAGTGATCACATGACAAATGGCGAGCAACCGTGGATACAGTAACAGCACAGGCGTGAGGCAGAGAGATGAATCACCGATGGATCAGTCCATTTCACTTGGCTGTCACTGCCCTGTGTGGGGGTTGTCACCCAGGTCTTCTCTCCATTGAGGCATGGGCAGAGGGAGCGGGGGGGGGCGGGGATCAGCAGCATTTTGTCAGGAAGATGCGTCTGAAACATGACCATCGGCTCCGTAGTATCGATTCGTTCCTGGCTGACAGGTACAGCCCGAGCCGTCCCTTTAAGAACCATGGTGACGGTATTAAAATGTCAAAAAATTAGAGGTCAGGCGAGGAGATAATTCTTTTCTTTTTTTCTCCCCTCCCCGTGTCAAATTAAAACGCCAACACTGTCTGACAAGGCTGCACGGCTCTGGTTGAGGGCCCAGTGACAGCTGAACGGCGCGGTCTCCTGTACCCGAACCCCCAGTGCTGATTCGCTTCTGATGTAGATGGTGACATGATTCTCAGGCGGAGAAACATGACAGTAACCTCTTGAGGTGGACCCCGCTGTTCTGCCACGACGTCAGGAGACAAATTGTGCACCTGTTTTTTTTTTCCTTTTTATTTTTTCACCCCCTTTTGTTACCAAACCTTTGTTTTAGTCGCTGATGTCCTTGAGGTGAAAGTCAAATAGCTTAAGAAATTAATCAAAGGGACAAACAAGTGGAAAATCTGTTGAGTGCTCTTGTAGGTAAAATGAGCTGACTTAGCAGCCACACATACTTTATGGATACCCTGTTCCACTCTGCTGTCATTTTCCAAAGGGTGTGCATCAGCAAAATGCGTCCCCTTTCCAATTACACAGGCTAGAGTGTGTCAGTGAAATGTGTCCCCCGCATGTCAGATGGGAATATTTTGTATCAGTGTTTCCCCCAACAAATGTGTAAAGTGTGTCGCACACACATAAAACACAGGTGCATTGTATGTCAGTGAAATGACTTCCCCGCCTGTCAAATGAGACATTTGTTGGGCAAACCGTGAAACTGGAAGCTATTTTGTTTGCGTCGCTCGGAGGTTCTTGATGTTCTAGTCCAGTGAGTAACGCCCTTGGAAATTCATATTGCCTCACAAAAATTCAGAATAGGTCACATACATTTGTACTGACGTATTGTTTTTATAAATATAAAAATCAAAAGATGGTCAATGTTTTCCTTTATGAGTGGATTGCTGTTTAAAGATGAGTTTGGGTGGAGCTTCAACATTGTCTCTCTAGAGCTCAATATAACGTTTGAAGTGGTAGATATGGGAGTGCAGGGGACTCTCTCGCCTCTGGGGGGCGCAGAGCCGGTGACATTGCTGGTCACCCGGCGATGGAGCGTGTCTGTGCTCACCCGGGCATGGCCGTCATCGCTGCCAGGAGACCTGCTTTTGGAGGGTATGTCTTATAAGCCAAAGGGCTCTGGGGCACATGAAGCTAATTACTGGACTGTTAAGTGCCAGAGATTTTACTGCCAGATGGGGGTGGGGGGTAACTTATTGGTGCGGAGTAGCAGAGATTATCTTATTGACGTTCAAGACATTCTGACATGTTTGACAGTTAAGAACTTAAAAATGTACCAGCAATCCTGAGAGCTATCCGCTCCTTCCCTTGCGGCTGAGGGATGGAGAGACTCCCAGTGAACACGAGATGGCTTCAGGCCAGAGGAGCTTCTCTCTCATTCCCGCGGCCAGGTATCCGAGCATTACCTGGGTGTCCTAATGCGCTGCGGCTGGAAAAATGGCAGTCGGAGGAGGACGGGCAAGTTGACCCATTGGCTCATGCCGCAAATCCAGCCTGGAGACAGCTGCTCTTGTGTGGTGTGGCTGGCTGGCAGGCAGTCACCACAGATGGGGCACTGTTCAGTCCAAAGGGGGCTCCAAGCATTCATCCGATCCCGTGTCTGAGAGATCATTCATCATTTTACACAGATATACAATTATTTAATCGAAGTGATTCAGGTAAACACCTTACTCAACAACAGCAGTACTCCTGATATTTTAGCCTTTTGTTTTAAGTACCTGAACTATGTTAGGGTGCGCAGCAGGGGGGTTCCGATTGTGTTTTATACTGGTGGGGGGCGGGCAGTGGGTGATAGACACATGTGGAACGAGCTCCCCTCCAATGGGGGATGGCCGTTTGGCCTTGCTGTCAGCTTCAGGAAACCCTCCTACCTGTGGCTGAAGAGCTGATCCTGGTACTGCTCCCTTACTCCGCCCACTGCTGCTCATTTCGGATGGAGAGGCCAGTCAGTTGTTTGACTCCACTCTTCTCTGCTCTCCCGTTCCCCATAGCTCCCTGACCCATATTTCATTAGGGACCCAAACACTTTCCTCCTGAAACCCTCCTTCATCAAGGTATTTTCTTCTGCTGTGTTTGTTTGCCTGTGTATGCTGTTGCCCCCCCCCCCCCCCCTGCCCCCACTTTGTTTTAAGAACAATCGCGTCTCCAGGCCGGCCCCAGCGGCCTGTCACCCCAGGTTAGTGTTTCGGCGGCGGTCCCGTTGTGCCCCGAGACTGAGAATGGCCAACTCAAGCGTGTTAATAGGAAAAGGCTTGTCTCTCCTATACTAACACACGTGTGACTCTGCAAGGGGGAGGGGGAATCGGCAGCCCAGCACCCCCACCCCCCCGCCCAGAGGCATGGCTGCGTTCGGATTTGCCTGCATTGTCGAGTAGTGCATTGACCCATCACTTTGACGTATATTGCTTGTGACAGCATCTCCTGCGTGTCCCCCGCAGGCCATGGAGGCCCAGATCCAGGGCTTTGGACAGACGCCATCGCAGTTACTTATAGAGCCGCATCCGCCACGCAGCTCCGCCATGCACCTGGTGAGTGCACAATGCATGCTGGGACTCCGCCCCCAAGGCCCCCCCCCCCCCCCCCCCCATTCCCTATGTGTGTTTCTGCCATTTTTCACCTTACACCCATGTGGGCTCCTGTCTGCAGGGTCAGACGGGCAGGGCAGAGGGTTGACGCGGGCGGCAGCGGGCAGGAAATCAGCCATTGTTCTGTTTTTCGTCTCCGATTTTCCTCCTCCCCTTTCAAAAATAATAAAAGTAAAAAAAAAATCTGGTTGCCGTTTTCAAGGCCAGCGCCTCTACCTTCGGGGTAATTCCCCAGGAGAGCGTTCCCATAAAATCGGGCCAGACTCACGCATGCTTCCACAGGAAACACAAGTCACTGGGAGGGGGCCGTGTTTGAGGCCCGGCTCCTGTGTCACATCGCATTACCCCAGTTATTACTTTACTGTCGTCACAAAACAAACTCAAAAAGCTTCCGCCTCGATGGGCCACAGTAGGCTGCCAAGGCCCCTGTGACTGCCACGTGAGGAAAGGCAGGCGGATCAAGCAGTGCTGCTCTGTGTCTGCGGCTCAAATCGGGCACGGAAAGTACATCTGGTTTCTCCACATAAACCAGCGCAGTGGGCTAGTCTGCTGCCAGAGAGGCCCCTCCCATCAGCACCGAAGGCAGCCAATGAGAGCTTCCTCAGTTGCACCCAGGCTGCAGGGTGCCACGGATGCCCCTCCCATCAGTGCCAAAGGCAGCCAATAAGGCCTTTCTCAGCTCCACCCAGGCTGTAGGCTTTGCCCTTCCACCGCAAGGCCTAAGATGTAGAAAAGCTGCCGCTAGCTGATCTTCCAGTTGTACCAGAAATTTTCGGATTAATTTAATATTGACTTAAGGTTAACATTTATTTGTGTGTGAAAAGATAGATCGCATGTCAATCACCATACTCTACAACATTTTGAGTTGCTGTTATTTAGTGATTATTTATTGTTATTTGTTAATTCCAGAGGAGACAGAGCAAATTCAGGGTGTTGCAGTTACTCTTTCTATGCTCTTCCAAAGACCCAACTATCTTCCCAGTATCAAATCCAGCTGTTTATTGCAGGTTCTATGCCACGGACCATGGAAGCCATAGGAACCAATCTGGTATCCATCCACTTTATCACCAAAAGCTCTCCAGGCTTTCTTATGACTATATCAGAAACTCCTCTCCATTTCTGTTTCAACTCATGGCCCTCATTGAATTCCTCAGGGATTCTCCTCTGCATCACTGTCCCTGATGCAGTAGACCCATCACTGGCAAGCCATTGGCTAGTTTGATTGATGTGAAGTTCCTGTCAAAATATAGGTCTGTTCCCTAGGGAGGTGACCGAGCCATGCAATGAAATGCCGTTCCTCCAAATCTCAGTTGATCTTTGATGGTTTCCCTCCCCCAGAAGACCTCAAAGTCCAACACGAAACCATTTGCACTGCCAAGCACAGCCATTTTGAGCCCTGTTGGATGTGGCTTACGAGGAACAAACTGGCGGATGAAGCAGTATCCAGTAAAGGGAATCATTTGTTCATCAATGGACACCTTCCCTGGTCTTGGCAGACTCAGGCAGCCTTGTTGCACTTTGTTTAACTGAGGTCTGATTCTCTACAGTGGGCCATTTTTCCTACTTCCCCTGAGACATCTATATCATATCTTTTAGAGAATTGCAGGTCTTGAAAAAACAGTCTCTCTTCATGGTCTCGGTAAAAATAGGTACCCATGTCTCTGCTGTCCAGTACATTTTAATTCTCAGATACGCATGGCATGCCATGTTCAGGAACACTCCAAAGAAAGTTTTTATTTTCTCTGGAGCCGTGTTAAGGCTGTACACTGTCACCACTATCTCTTGCTGGTTAGTAGGTACACATATGTCCTCAAAGACTTTGGCATCTATGTACTGCCTGAAGTGCTTGTAACGCTCCAGTTTTTGCAGGTACAGGCAGTGTTATCTAGGGAAACACTCTCCTCTAAACCTGGTTTGAATCTTCCATCCATCCATTCATTCCTCCATCCATCCATCTTCAAATTGTGTTTCCTTGTCAGGGTTGAAAGGGAAAAATTCATTATAATGCTTTTTCAAAATGCTATTATTCAAGTAGGATGTATACATGCGCAAAATCTTAGGAAATTAAGTATTGAGCAAAATGGGGTTCAGTTTTCTATTAATAAAAGAAATAACCTGCATGATCGGTAGTATAAGAATGAATAATTCTGCCTCAGCCTCTCCTTCTGTAGCCTCATCAGTGGAGTCTGCCTCAGTGATTATATCCAGAACTCCTTCTGCCTCTGTCAGCTTTACTGGCCCTGCAGTATTAGGTAAAGCAGATGAAACATAGTTAGCATGTCCGGATGTCCATTACAAAGCACACTGACCAGCGAGCTCTTCATCAGCAGGTTAAGTTTTGATGATAAAATTGCATTTTTCACTTGGTGTCATGGTTCAGCCGCAGTGAATATCAGTGAGAAGCCCAGGTTTTAGAGGATTAGCTCGGGTGTCATTTAAATATAAGCCATATCCCCCACTGAAATGAATTACTGGGTCTTAGAAGGATAATAGGATATTTCTGTTGCTGTTATTATTATCCATCCATATTCTGTAACCGCTTGTCCTATTCAGGGTGGTGGGGGGTCCAGAGCCTATGGGCACAAGGCAGAGAATTACCCAGGATGGGGTGCCAACCCATCGCTGGGCACACTCACACACCAGCCACAGGCACAACTACGGGCAATTTGGTAACTCCAATCAGCCTCAGCATGTCTTTGGACTGTGGGAGGGAAATCCTGAGCACCCAGAGGAAATCCCACAGTGACACGGGGAGAACATGCAAACTCCACACACATGGAACTATGGCAGAGACTCAAACCACAGCACAAACCACTGTGCCACCCCATTATTATTATTATTATTATTATTATTATTGCAGTTTGAACAGCCTTCAGCTCTGGGGTCATTTTCGTGTCCCTGCTTGCTGACGTACCTTCTTACAATAACGTTCTGGTTCTTGCAGACGTCGCTCTTCTCTTACTTTTGCAGTGTTTCCCAGGGTGCAGAAGGCCTGTTTGCTCATTCCGGATGTTAAATGTCTGCTTCTGGGTCTTTCATTGAAGCCCGCAACCCCACACCATTCAGTTCTCCCACCCTGGTGGTTTATTCTCCCCTCCTGCTTCTGTGCCCTGATCCCTGTGGGGGGGGGGAGGTTAGTGGGTTAGGAATGCCTAGATAGTTTGAAGGTCCCTCAGATACACCCCCCCCCCCCCCCACATCACGCTGCCCCTTCCCCTGTGTCTGTACCTTGTTTTACCTGCAGCATCCGCACTAATTGCCTCTCCCCCATCCTGCCCCCCACCCCCAATCCCGTCCTGTTCTCTCTTCTACTCAACAGTGTTTCCTTCCACAGAGCTCCCTCATGTTCAAGGACCAGATGCAGCAGGATGTCATCATGGTGCTCAAGTTCCCGTCCAACTCGCCGGTCACCCACGTGGCGGCCAACACGCTGCCTCACCTGGCCATCCCTGCCGTCGTCACCGTCACCTGCAGCCGCCTCTTCGCTGTCAACCGCTGGCACAACACCGTGGGTGAGTGGGGAGGGGGGGCAGCATGTTGTGATCATGTGACTTATGGTGTCTGGCATGCTCTGCACGTAAACACAATGGCCTTCCACTCCTTCATTGTTTGCCAGCCGCAGCGCCTCTTCCACACAGCAGCGTTTTGTGTCACACTGGCTGATACATGCTGCTGTAGTTCACTCATATACAGCTAAATATACACCCAGACCCTGGTAAAAGCTTAATGATGACTGAACCGTGCTACAGACACGCATGTTTGTAGCACACATATTCCCATCTTTGTGGGGACCATCCATTCATTTCTATAGGGAAAAGTCTAATCCGAACATGACAACCTTAACCCCTACCCAGCCCTAACCCTAACTATAAGTAAGCAAACAAAATACAAGACTATTGTCATTTTTAGTTTTTTGATTGCATTCACAGATCTTTGTGGGGACCTGAAAAATGCCCCCCACATCGTCAAAATAACAGGTTTTTATTACATTGTGGGGGACTTTTTGGTCCCCACAATGTAGTATAAACATAACACAGATACACACACACACAGAAATCATCTTACTCTGGACATAGATTCCCTCAAAAGTCACTCTACTTGTACCTTAGTTCCTTCCCAGTAAATCCAGTCTGTCCATTAAGGCTCACACAGGTGTGCTTGGAGAGCAGCCTTGATTCCAGTTTTCATATATTCCCATTTATCCAGATGTGAACAACATTACCCAGAAATCCCCTCTAGGGAATAGGCATCACCTCCAGGTCAGAGGTCAGATATGACTGGCCTGCGGCTATTCTCGCAACTCAAAAAGATGGAATGTGTTTCATTTCTTTATTGGTCTGTCCTGCCCACAAAATGGCGGCCTCCACCCCGGACTCCTGGGCCTGATATAGTCATCTGTTGGGTAAAATAAGTACATTTTGTTGGGATCTCACTGGCAGCACCAGGGAGCCCAGTAAGTCTTGCTGTGTTTGCCTCATTATTGACTGCCTCAGGCCCCATTTTCCATTTGGGGGTTGGGGGGGTAGGCAGCACACAGTGGGGGTTTTAAGGCGTTCAGCCCATTTTGTGTGAGCATACGCGAGGGTGTTTGTGTCCTCATGTGCTGCTGTTCTGCCTCTTATGAAACATGTGCAGTGGCTGCAGGTCTGTTCACTGGCTCCCTTTGTGTGCGTGTGTCCGACAGGCCTCCGAGGGGCCCCGGGGTACTCGCTGGAGCAGGCCCATCACTTGCCAATTGAGATGGACCCCTTGATTGGTACGTAGACACTTCCGGGGTGTCGGGGGTGGGGGGGGGCACCTCTGGCCACACGTTGTGGGACTAATCTGGCCTTTGGCTAAAGCATCCTATAATGAGATCGCAGCTAGCCTTTGTATGTGTGTGTGTGTGTGTGTGTGTGTGTGTGTGTCAGGCCAGACGTCAGATCTGCTTCTTTACTGAACCTCTCACACCAGCCAATAACTCTGGGATGAACAAAAGGCAAATCACAGACCTGGTGGACCAGAGCATCCAGATCAACACCCACTGTTTCGTGGTGACGGCTGACAACCGCTACATCCTGGTGTGCGGCTTCTGGGACAAGAGCTTCCGCGTCTACTCCAGTGAAACGGGTATGTGAATTCACACACACACACAGAACTGCCCTAACCCTAATCCCAACACTGGCAATCTTAATCCCTACCCAGCCCTAACCCAACAAAATACAAGACTTTTGGCATTTTTAGTTCTTTGATTGCAGTCACAGATATTATAAAATTGATGTCCCCGCAAGGTCAAAATAAAAGGTTTTTGCCATATTGTGGGGAGATTTGCTCCCTGAAATGTAATATATACATGCCCGTTCCTTCCCACACCCACACACACACACACACACAAACAGCAGCTCAGCCATTGTGCTCAGCCACGAGTGAGCATGTCGATTCAGCGAGACCAGTAGGCACTTATTTGTAGATTTGTGTTACTCATAAATCCACAGGCACAGGTTTGCATTAAGTTAGTGATATACTCCACAAGGATTGGTCAGTATTTTCTTGACTGGGACCAGGGGGGATTCCTGGATTTTTAAGGTGGGAGAACAAAAGGAGCCAACCTAATCATTACCCAATGATGTGATTTGAATCGGTGAGTGACATGGGAGGGAGCACTTCAGCAGCCAATCAGCTATTAGCTGACTGGGACAGAAGTTCAAGGCCAGGTATTAGGTGTCAGTGGACAGGTCCAGATGGGTGTTCTGACTTCTCACCCTGGCCCACTGATTTTCCCCTTCAGGCAAGCTGACTCAGATCGTGTTTGGCCACTGGGATGTGGTGACGTGTCTGGCCCGGTCCGAGTCCTACATCGGGGGCGACTGCTACATCGTGTCCGGCTCGCGGGACGCCACGCTGCTGCTGTGGTACTGGAGCGGGCGGCACCACATCATCGGGGATAATCCTAACAACAGTGAGTGGGTAGCGCCGTCCCAAACACTGATGCCTGAGGAGCAGTTCCTAAAAACGAATCCCAGAATTTCCTAAAAAATGAAGCCGACTTGTTATTGGCCGGATCCCTCTGGCACAATCCTGACAAGCTGATGGTTCTTTTTCCCTGTGGAGCTCAGCAGCCTGAAAGAAGGCGAGCAGGTAGCGTACCTAAAGCCGAGGAGTGATGAGTAGGTTCAAACCGCTGCAGATGGTGCCATGATAAAAGACCGTGTCTCGCTACCTGGGATATTTTCGTGCCGCTGGGCCTGGTAAACCCACAGGATGGTCCTAATGAATGATCCGGCACCTCTAATGTTCTGAAAGCCCTCCTGCTCCACACAGTAACTCCCAAACCTGCAGCTGTTCCTGCATTGTTTCCTGTCCCTTATGTCTCTCTGACCGAGGAATCTGTTTGGCAAAAGGGGGGGGGGGGGGGGTACTGGGAAGGCGATTACCCGTTTTTAGAATATTATGAAGTTGTTCCTGAGGTTGTAAGCTGAAGGTCTATCAGGGAGGAGACTGGGCTGTGATTCCTACAATAGCACTAGTTTAGGTGCCCAGATTTTATAATTAACTTCTGCAACTCAGACAGTTAATTAAGAATTTCAGCTTGGTTGCCTCCAATTAGTAGGGGGGCAGATTCACTCTTCTTAAGAGCAGAGAAAAGCAGCCCTCCCTATTTAAGCCGATAGTGCTTACTGTGCACCTTCTGGAAACAAAGAGAAGATGCCACAGGAGAGGCGCAGGGACCGAGGCAGGACGGGTGACATGTGACATGCTGTGGGGTCAAGCATATTGCCGAGCCGGACTGACGAGCGAAAAGGGACGAATTCCACAGGCTGTGGCACTGACAGAGCGGCTGCTACAAAACGTCTATACAAACGCGTTGTGTTAGACATGTGAAACACAACGCGTGGCCGTGAGAACTCGCACGTCTCAGATGACAAACAAGGCTCAAATCTCGTCACCTTTTCAATGTTGTTGTTTTGGCTACAGTTGATGATGTTGGAGAAAAAAAAACATATTCAACAAAAACAATAGGCCGTGTATGCCAAAACAAAGTACCGTATATATACAGGGCAGAACGATAGAACGTCAGGGGAAAGGATAGCGCCCTCCAGTGGTGTGTTCTAAAAATTCAGAAATTGATTTTTTTTCTTTTTCATTTTAGCGTTCATTTAGTGTTACCAAATTGTATACTTTAAGGCAGATCGTGCCGAGATTTATTGGGAGAAGAACATCAATAATTATCATTAATAGTGGCCATCTGATTAAATCCTTTATTGCATATGTGGTCTTTATAATGCAGGCTTCATTTGACTGGCTGGACAGCATGCAGTTTGTGTCTGAATATTGTCTGTATGCTTGAGCACCTCCCAACAGCCAATATAGAGGAAAGAGGGTTTTCTTTGTATACAGAAGTGACACCCCACGCCAAGAAGAGGGGCTGTGCTGTGGTTATGATTTCATGCCTGCTGCAGCTTCTGCCACTGAGGTGCTCTGGTAGTGGTGGGGGGGGGGGGGGGGAAGGGGGGGGGGGGGCATGTCTCAGGATGTCTGGCTCACATCCTTGCCGTAGAAATTGATTTTGTGGGTTTAGGAGAAGCCTGCGATTGTCCTAACGGGCGTGATAATGAGAGGGACTCCCAGCTCGCCTCTGACTGGCCGCTCCAGCTGGTGTCAGGGGTGGGGGGGGTTTGGGAGGGTCCTGCAAGGGCTGCCTGATGGAGCCTTTTGTCAGGTAGGAGAGTCCGGTCCATGCATCTCAGAAGCTCCTCAGCTGGGGGGGAGCTAATTGGCTGGGGACCGCTGGGGACTTCCTGTCTCCTGGGGGGGGCTGATTGGCTAGGGACCGCTGGGGACTTCCTGTCTGCTGGGGTGTGGCACAGTGACGTACCATAAGGGAACAAGGATCTATCGCACCCGGAGCACTGCTTAACAGAGAAACATATGGGCACAAGTTAATACAGCGCTGTGGCCTTACTGTATATATGCTTAAAGAGTGGGTTAGTTCTGGCTGGGTGTACACATGCATGCTAGAAGCTTACTGTCTATATGTGTGTATGCTGCCTCAGAACAGAGACACATGCCAGGACAAATGTTTGATTGTTTTTTTTTATGAGTTAAGATCAAAGAGTTCAGATAAAAGCAATCCAGCGTTTTGTGTAAGAGTGAAGCACATGGTGGCGTATCTGTGTACGAGGCTTTGATTGGTGAACACATGAAAGTGTATCTGTATGTGAGGCTTTGATTGGTCAAAACATGGAAGCATATCTGTGTGCGAGGCTTTGATTGGTGAACATATGGAAGCATATCTGTGTGCGAGGCTTTAATTGGTCAACACATGAAAGTGTATCTGTGTGGGAGGCTTTGATTGGTCAACACATGAAAATGTATCTGTGTGGGAGGCTTTGATTGGTCAAAACATGGAAGTGTATCTGTGTGCGGGGCTTTGATTGGTAACCACATGGTGGCATATCTGTGTGCGAGGCTTTGATTGGTCAACACATGGAAGCCTGTCTGTGTGAGAGGTTTTGAATGGTCAACACATGTTTGCATATCTGTGTGTGAGGCTTTGAAAGTACATTTAAGATGCATTCTCACTCAGTCCCTTTAGACTAAACTCTGATGTAGTTTCCATTTATGTGACATGTATTTAATATGCAGAATTATAGTATCATAACATCGTAATTTATTTTAATACTGGGGCTTTGGCAGTGTCACCCAGCTTCCTGCCAATTACAGAGTAACCCTATCTGACCTTTCATTGTATTGCCATTTCAATCAGCTGTGATTGCAGTTATTTTGTTACTTATTTGAAGGCCGTCATTGGGAGTCAATTTTGCGCCTCCTGCACAGGGAGGTCATCTGAGGAGCGATCACCTGAACTCCGGGCAGATGCGCATGTCTGCCTGCCAGTGCCTCATTGATTCCCTCCCCCCGCCCCCCACCCCAGCGATGGCCATAATGAATCCCGCAGCTTTCATTCTGAATGCGGCAATCTCGTTAATTACAACAAAGGCCACGTTAATTATTCCCCACTGCCTGGCGTTCGTATCTGATGGCAACATGATCCACCAGAGACACAAGAGTCAAAGGATGCTGGGATTCACATTAGCGACTGCTCATTTGCAAGCGAGAGCACCATAACAGACAATCGGCTCTTCGGTACTGTTTGCTTCATGACGGTAAAGCCATGGTCCTCTGTGGTCTTCGATGATCTGCTGTTCGCCATGCTGTCTTCTGTAGGAACGGCAGTTTAAGGAAACTGACCCAAAGCATCAAAGGCCTGTCGGCTGCTTGAGCTCACATGGCTACAGTTGGCCATTGGTATTAGCTAAGCAACGAAGTATCAGCAAGTCATCTTGAGACGCTAAAGACTCACTACATTGTGGGAGGTTCCTGAAGAGCACTGACTGCTGGCTTATCTGCTGACCTTCTGCTCGTCAGTACATGGGCTCCCTCTGTGACACGGAGCCTCGCTTTCGTGTCACTCTCAGTATCTGCCGGCTTGATGTTTCTTTCAGTGGCTCCTCTCTGCCCAGGATGGAGTCACCCCCCCCCCCCCGCCTTCTTCATTACCTGTGAGCTCCTGTCTTTCATTACAGGCGACTATCCGGCCCCCCGCGCTGTTCTCACTGGCCACGACCACGAGGTGGTCTGCGTGTCCGTCTGTGCTGAGCTGGGCCTCGTCATCAGTGGGGCCAAAGGTTAGTGCAATGGGCTGAGGCCATCTCCCAGATTAGAATGATCCTTAAAAATCATCCTGACATCTCTCAACACCGGCTATTCAAATATTGTAAAAAAGAAATAAGTCTAAATACTCATATTTGATAGACACCTCAAGAAAGTATTGGTTATATATATATATATATATTGTGGGGGACAAATTTGACATTTTTTTTTATAAATAGCTTTGCCTTTTTTTGGGAAATAATTCAAATTGTCATTTTTCAAATGAGGATAAAAAGGTGTCTGAGATGCTGTGTGTGTGTGTGTGTGTGTGTGTGTGTGTGTGTGTGTGTGTGTGGACAGAGGGGCCTTGTCTGGTACACACCATCACTGGAGACCTGCTGAGGGCCCTCGAGGGCCCCGAACTCTGCCTGCGGCCCCGTCTCATCTCCGTGTCCAGTGAGGGCCACTGCATCATCTACTACGAACGAGGCCATTTCTGCAACTTCAGCATCAACGGCAAGCTTCTGGCACAGATGGAGGTCAACGACTCCACTCGAGTGAGTCCCTCTCTACTCCATAATCCCCCCCCCCCACTCGACTAAGGTAAGGTAGCTAAGGTACCTATGTCTAACATTCTTTTAAAGTTTTTTTTAGCTGATAAGCATCAATATTAATCTGTTTACTCAGAGAACTCAGAATGTTTTGTTCCCTGTTTGTAAAACACACAGGAATTGGTCATGGTTTGGTGCAAGAGGAAAAACTAAAAATATACAAAGAAACAGTGGTGCCACACAACATAATGCAAACAACCACATCTATAAAGGATTGCCAGTGGCACTCTGTTTAACACTGTGGCTTTCAAATAGGACAAAAATAGCTAAACATGACTAAACTGTAACACACTGAGCCTTTATTAAACTTGGTTTTAATGTTTTACTTAGTCCTATAATGCTAATTTGTATTATTTAAAACATAGAATTAGTAATAGAATGTAACTTGGGTTCTCTGGTGTATTCTTTGACATTTCCTGAAATTACTGTGTCGTTAGCCTGTCTTTGAAGGCCTTTACCCTGGAAAGTAAAGTTGACTCACTGGCGCCCCCCACAGGCCATCCTCTTGAGCAGCGACGGGCAGAACCTGGTGACGGGTGGCGACAATGGAGTGGTGGAGGTGTGGCAGGCCTGTGACTTTAAGCAGCTGTACATTTACCCTGGCTGCGACGCTGGCATCCGCGCCATGGACCTGTCACATGATCAGAGGTAGGCGTGTCTGTCCCAACTTCCCACAGCAAGATGGTCACTGCTTGCAGGCCAGCTCTGCTCATGGGTCATGTGGTTGTCAAGGCATGTTTGAGCAAACAGGTTTCTGCCTGCCTTGTTTTCCTTAGATACAGCCCAGTTGCCATAGAAACAGAAGAGCGTAGGGCTGTTGCATTCTGAGGGGTTCCGTAGAGTCTCTGCACATTCTTATCTCTGCACATATACTGTCAGCATCCCCCCCCCCAACCACTACCCTCAAGCCAGGGATTGCGGTGTGGAGCCCAGCACAGAGGATGAATTGTTTGTGTTCAGGGCGGGGGGTAGTCGGGTGAAAGGTCAAGGGGCTGGCATCATCAATTACAGGAAGTGAAGTACCCAAGCACAAATTCTCTGTTTTAACCATTTTTAATGTGTCAACTTCTTCCAAAGTAGATGTGTGTCCGCAGCAGCAGCGAGGCGGCGCTCCCTCTAAACGCCACTCCCTCTAAACGCCGCTCCCTCTAAACGCCGCTCCCTCTAAACGCCGCTCCCTCTAAACGCCACTCCCTCTAAACGCCACTCCCCTCATAAGACGCTTCCACTGCAGGTGGCTGTGAGCCACGAGGCTTATTACAGCCCTGGAGATGCCCCTGTGAAACCAGCCCCTGACCCCCCCTCCTGACCCCACCCCCCCCCCCCAGCTGAATGGATACTTTCAGCTGCTAGGAAGGAGGGTGGGGGCTAATTTACTGTTGGTGCTGGTGACCTTCTGTCTGGCTTAACGCAGCTGCCCTTCCCCATTAACAAACCTCTGTGACACATTACACACACAGACAGACACACACACACAGTGTCACCACACTGATGTTTGACTTGCAGTTTGCTGGGCAATAAGCTCCATTATTCCAGTGCACAAAATGAATAATCACTTTAAGTATTTATGCAGGTTTATCACATAAATAGTTATTTTTAGGCGCTGGTGCCCACCCACAGGTACGCATGCGAACACACCTGGGCTCCTGTTCTCTTAGCTGCCCCCTTGCTGCCCTCTGATTGGCTCCCGTTCTTCCGGCAGGACTCTCATTACAGGCATGGCGTCTGGTAGCATCGTTGCCTTCAACATCGACTTCAACAGGTGGCACTACGAGCACCAGAACCGGTACTGAGCCGGGCAGCTGGATGGGGGGGGGGGGGGGGCAGGGCGCGTCCTGCTATCTCCCAGGTGACCGTGGGTCCCACATGCCAGTAAGCAGAGGACACCAGTGGAAAGAACATGCTATCAGAAGCAGAAAGAGAGAGATTCTGGTTCGCCTGCCTCTTCCACGAGCGTTCCGCATCACCCAGCAGCAGCGGTCAGCCACGCTAGTCAGGGCGCATCCGTTTTCGTCCCTCACTTTCATTCTCTGGGCACTTGCCAACCGACCTGTGTCACATGACCCGCGGTTCATGTTTCTACGGAGACCTTCAGTAGCAAGACATGGGCCGTCTGTGGAAGCCTTACGACCTACAAAGCAATGCCTGAATGAAAAAGGCAGATTAGCATTGTAGTTAATATTTGGTTATAAAGTATATAAAGTTATTCAAATCTCAAACATCAGGAATTTCTGATAAGCTTTTATCTCTTTTCATACCTCTGGTCATTTCAAACTGTGTAGTAAATAACAGGCGAATAAAGTTTTGATGTTTAAAATCAGATGCACAAAAGAAGCATTGCACCATTGTAAGGTAATGAATATTCTGAAATAAATAAGCTATTGTAGTAAGAATGGGAAGGTAGTTAGGAATGATACATGTTTCTTACGCAGTGGTACTGTGTTCGCTCTGTAAATGTGTGGTTTTGCAGAAATGCTGCAATTTGACAGCCGAAGCTGCGAAACATATTTAAATATGTGATGGACTCTCGACCATAACCCCATTTAGGAATTCACAATTCTAACCTTTTCGAATTCGGTCTATCTGCCTCAGGTGACCAGTGATTCACTCACATCTTGAAATCAAGTGATTGACTCGCATCCTGGTAGACAAGAAGAAACAGGCGGAGTCCTGTTAATATTAATTTTAGTAATTTATTCAAGTTTTGTTTTCTATTGTAGCAAGATCAGCATAGGCTGTCCAGCATAAACCGCATTCGTGTCTCCCGAGGACAATTTCAGACTGTCTCAGTAACTGCTTATTTATTCCTAAATTATTTTGTGTGTAAACTTACAAGAAATTATTTTAAAAAAACGTTCGCCTTTTGTAAATACAGAGACCCTCGTCACAGTTGTACATAATGTATTGGTTTGGAATATTCGGCATGAAGTGGAAAGGTTGTTTTCCCATAAAATCAAAATGAAGAATTTCTTACTCGTCGTTATATTTTTGGGCTGGAAGCGTCATGGGGAAATGACTATAATGAGCGTAAAGCAAGCAGCTGCGGCACCGTGAGCTGTATCACATGTCAGCCACCAGAGTGGAGGTGGTCAGGAGGGCCGCTTTGAGCGAGGACTCGCACACGGAAACGCCACGTGACGTTCAAAATCCTACCATAATCGCAGCCATGTTTTATTGTTTAAAGGTGTTTTAGAATCTCACAAAAAATCTATGTAGAATTTTACAATTGGCCCTTTGATTTGCTATTCATGTGTTTTCGGATGCTGCCCCGACGGGAAATGCGGCTTTGCAGCTTGAGAAGATGGAGGCTCCGCGATGATACCGTGTTTTTTTTGTTCCTTTCTTCTTCCCTGTTTATTTGAAAAAAGTTTCCTGTATGGAAATAGAAAGATGTGGATTTGGAAATATTATTTTAGAGTGTATTTTAATATTTACATGTCCCAGATGACGTGGAGAATTATGTATTTGGAGAAAATATGGGGAGAAAAAAATCTAATATATTTTGGGACAAATGTACGACAATTTTATTTTTCGATCTGGTACATAATTGAACATTGCAGCAATGAGAGATGATGGAATGTGTTTAATTTTTTCTGAAATATATGATTTAAATCCGATATGATTTTGTAGCCTATTTATATTTATTTATTTAAAAATATATCTAAATTTCTCCTCCATAAGGGTTTAAACATTACATTTGCTACGATAATGAGAGCCTTGGTTATATTCAGTTTTGGATATGCTTCATAAAATAATTTGCTGTATTTATAATTCTGTTTTGATATGGTCGTTTATTTTTTGTTGCCCCTGATTTAACGAGTTATCTATTTTGACTGTGTCTCTGCATCTTTATTAGGCGAAATTTGATGTTTGTTCAAAACTATTTAAATGATACCAATATATAAAAATGGATATAACTGTAAAATAAAATGATTTTCTCTTTTGTTGTATTTATAAAAAAAATAAATACATTACTTTGAGCTTTTGATTCCAGATATTTATTTTAAAGCGTGGTTTAAAAGATAGAAAGAGCTTTTACATAATATATCGGTCCTCTCTCTCTCTCTGTGTGTGACATACATTTTTGTGTATATAAACTGATATGATCATAAAGAGGAGTATCAGATAAATGCTGTCAGTTTTTTACACACAATAGTGTGTACCGTCTGTATAGCTTCACTGAACATGTTTCTGACTCATTTTTCCTCTTTATATGATGTGAGGAAATGTATGCAAGCCAACAGAAAGTACAAAGATAACTATATTACTACAGTATGTTGGTCTACAGTGCCCTCTGCAGGTGGAAATTGAGCACTGCATGATACTTGATCTAGCAGTATTGGACAAGGACACTGTGAAACCATCACTATCAAGGTATGACTAATGGTAATTGACAGCAGAAAGAAATCAGAATCATGCTAAAAAAAAGTCATGCTTAAATCATATATACGTATTCACAGATAAGTCAAAACATTATGACCACCTCCATGTGAAGTGAATAATGTTGACTATCTCATAGGAACTGGGTTTCAGGGTCTAGTATGTATTAGATGGCGAGCTAACATACGGTAGGTACTCTTAGTCAAAATGCTGAATGCAGAAGAAACGGACAGGGGTAAAGACCTGAATAACTTTGGTAAGGGTCTAATCATTATGGTTAGATGGCTGGGACAGAGGATCTCCTAAACGGCAAGACTTGTTGGTGCTTAAGGTCCGCCGTGGTGAGTACTGACTGAGAGAGGACTGAGGAGGGGAAAAGCAGGAAAAGGTGCAGGGTGTGGGATGTGAATGGAGGCTGTCCCGTCTGATACATACCAACAGAGGGACTACTGTAGCACAAGATGGCACCATGAATGGCTGCTGTGGAGTTTTGCTCTCATGCACATTTGCTGTTTTTGTTAAATTATGTTGTGTGTTGAGTCAAATTGATACATATTTTATGTTACCTATCTGATGTGGTACATTTGTGGTCTTTGCCACACATTGTGCATTTCAGTTCTGAGGCACAAATATTAGATACTTTAGTATATTTTTATCCAAAAGGGTTGTAAGCGTTTCTGACAGTGGACGGGTCAGCATAAGTACTCTGACTGACTTGCAGCTACGTAGCACCATATGCAACAAGGCTCAATCCACTGTGTGCTGTGACATATTACACCTATGAGCATCATTAAAATTATCTGCTATTTGTGCCACAGTAACCCTTCTGTGGGTTCGTACCACATAGGATAACCTTCATTCACATGTCACGCTGACGCATCTCAGCCACCCAACACCCTGTCGGCGGACCTTGGTTATTTTCTACTCAAACCACTCTCAGTAGGTCCTTACCACGGCTGACCCCCGAAGTCTTGCCATTTCGGAGATGCTCTGTCCAGTCAGCTGGCCATAATGATCTGGCCCTTACCAAAGTCACTCAATCCCTCATCCCTGCCCATTTCTTCTGTAATCAACATGTGACTATAATCAACATATGACTATCGAATGTTACTGAAGGCTTACCGTCTAATAGATACCGGATCTTGACACACATCATTTTACTTGACAGTTGGCATTATTCACTACACACTGAATTGTCACAATGGCATCTGGTCACAATGTTTTGGTTCAGCATGTGCCGATGAGCTAAAACATCATGACCACTTCCATATAAAGGAAATGATGTTGACCGCCTCATAATAATGGTGCATGTCAAGTCTGGGATGCATTAGACCAGTGTTTCTCACCCTTGGGGACCCGGAGATGGTCCACATTTCTGCTCCCTCCCAATTCCCAGGGAATTGTGGGTCCCTGAGGACTGGTTAGAGAAATGCTGTATTAGTAAACATTCAGTACAGATGTAAGGCTGATGTAAGACAAAAATCACAAAATTATAGTCTCAGGAAATCCTTTATTTGTGGGTTTTGCTTGCCGCTGAATGAATTCACCATAGTTAATTATCGCCAGTAATTAACGTATTTGTTCACCTGAACACTTTATTTTCCTTTAATTAATAACAGAAATAGAGGGACTATAGCTGTACAACAAACTCCATCCGGTTCATTAACAAGAATTTTATACCCTCAAATATGTCTGCATTCATGTAGGATGCACTCATTTTATAAACTTTATAAACCTCCCAAGTAGCAAAGTTACAGTATACCTTATTTGTGCTTTCTAATGCTGTTCCAGTTTCCTGAAACTCAATGCAGTCCAACTTACCCAATACAAACAAATCAATCAGGTCAAGTTCTTTCAGTTACCTTCCTGGTACATAAGTGACTTTTTAGCGAAAGGAATTAAGAAAGAACTGTGAACAATCACGTGTGTATTCGCCTATGACATACAGTAAAGGAGTCAGTTGCTTCAGAAATTACAAAACCAATTAGGGAAACCAGAACCATCTTTTCTTTTTTGTGCTTTTGGGTCGAACTTCTGACAGGTATGACACTGAGTGCATTCTCAGCGTGCTTTGGGTTCATTGTGAGGATTCCCTAGTTGGGGAGAGAGTATCATAAACACTCTGGTTGGTTTGTGCAAAACAACTCGGTCCTGAAGGGATGAGAACACACCAATTGGAAGGGCAATTTATAAAGGATAAATTACAGGCATTTGTAGAGGGAAATATTGCAGAGATAAGCCACATGAAAAACAAGTTTTTAAAAAAACAAACATCACAGTAAAAACAAGACCATGTTCTTAAGAGCATAAACATGCAGGAAAGAGAGAATTAGGAGTCCAATAAGAAAGGTGGTTCAGGAAGCACGCTGTCCCCAAAGGCCAGGTCATGAACTGCACATGCCCAGTGCGGCTCCAATGGACTAACGGGGTCTGCCGAGAGAGACGGCAGGGGCAGCATTTGGAGGCGTCCATGTTTGTCACCACATGTAAGTTCGGACACATTCTTGGTCCACAGAAATCCATGTTGCCAGCACAGCCAAAATCATAACTACATTCAGTTATTGCAGTTACACAGCTTGCATTTCCTTGTGGGGTTTTTATTGTGTAGGTTTCCACATTCTTCGAGTCAAAAGTCTATGGCGTGCAGGTTACAGTGTGAAATGCAGTCCGATTTATACTCCTCCAGTTATTCTCAGTGGTGCCATGATCTGATTCCGCTTTGAGGGGCAGCACTGGATGCTATACCTAAGTATGGTTGTGCCAGATCTCCAACACAGCTACAGTAATGCAGAACTGCACTACTTCACTGGGAGCTTTGTGGCTGTCTACCAAACAAAAGCACCTATTGGTTTGACTGAGCAGGAACGATACTGATTCAAGTCTTGTGATATCGTGTGATGCAGCCTGATGTCTGAAACTGGAAAAGAACCTATGACCATGTTCACAGCCAGCCTCAAATCAAAAGCACCACTGCTTTAGCCAACTAGGAAGTGGAGGGGGAGGCCAGGGGGCCAGGGGGTCAGGGTTAGAGGTAGTGTTCACTGAACCAGGAGGGACCTTACCGGGAAAGTTATATCATTCAAACTTTATATTCTGCTCTCCAAGAGAATATACACAGCTAGGATTTTTGAGGTTCAGGCTGATAACAATAACATATGGAGCAGCAAAGGAAGCCTGATATCTATAAGGCCCCAAAACATTACTAGTACGTTTCAATTCACATGAGCACCCTCTTGTGGAGAGGGAAAATACTGCAGCAAGAATCACTACCACATATTTTTCATGGCCTTATGTCCGCCTGCACTTGCCAAATATACACCCTCTTGCGCCCACAACTGCCCAGCAGTCCTTTAAACTACCTGTAGCAGCACCATTTCCATCCTTTTGTACGTTTAAATGTTTCAGGTTCACTTAACATGCTTACATTTTCCATCCTTGTGTCTACTTCATTTTCAGTAATACAAAAAAGTGACTTTCACAAGAGTAAAACGCTACATGTGCACCAAATTTTGCATAACATCGATTCTCCTACAGTGTAAGCTTAGACACCTGGTCCCTGTTTCCATGACCACCATCCTCTCTGTCCTGTACCTCTACCTCTCTAAGGCTACAGACACTGCCCTAATCTGGCCTCTTTAATAGCTCACTGTTCACTCATATCACAGGACTGATCATTTGATACAATTGTGGTGAGATGTGCTCTTCTGTGGTTGTAGGTTCAAGAAAGATTGATGTAGGGCTTCTAAGAGCACCCCGCAATCCTGCCTTGTGATTATCGAAGCCGGGGAAAAACATGTCCCTGCTGGTCCATTGGACACTGCTGTCTATACTGGGCGATGGTGCATATCTGCTCCAGCTAAGGAACCATTGAATCAGTATTTTGGAATGTTTTGGGGTTCTGTTCTTGGGCAAAACACAGAAATTGAGTGATCTCTGAAGTGAGTTGTGATTCTCATGTGCTCCTGAAAAATACAGGCATGACTTCAGCAGAACATAGCAGTAATTTTATAAAATACATCACCTATGTAATGTTTATGTCCTGAATGTTTTTAAATACAGGATGATCCCATGCTAAATTCCAGGTTAAGTTAAATACTCTCCATGTTGCATAATGAAGACCCACACAATATTTCTTAACTACGAAAAGAAAACTGTTGACCTGTATGCTAATGCCATTCTGCTCTAAACCACAGCCCCAGAGGGACCAGTCAGTTGAAATTCAATCCTGCAGAGCTCATCAGTACAGGCTAATTCCATTTTGTCTTTCCCAACAGACAGACAAGGAGGTTACAGCACCATCCAACCTGGTTTAACGTGTGACCACGCAGATGCTGAAACTTAAAAACGTGGATTATTCAGGATGACTGGCATGACGTCATGCAGTTTAGCCATCAGAAGTTCATTGATAGCTGACAGAACATCAAAAGTGTAGAGGAAAATTCTCCTTAGCAGCAACGTAAAAATACATAAAAACAAACAAGTTGATATACCAATAAGAGGCATCCTAACAAAATGCCCTGTTCACTGGGATGTGTCCATTGTGCTGACTGGATGACCTCTGCCCCTGTGCTTTCTGTTGGTTCCTAATTGCCTCTTGACTTGTCTACTTCCTCATTCTCCTTCCTTCTTGCCTCTGCCTTGTCCTCACCCACCCTCTGCACGCTAGGGGTAGGTGGGCCTTCCGCTGAAGCAGGCGTGCTTAGAAAGGTGAATTGGGTGAGCGGACCGTCTCAGCAGAGCTGGGAGAATAGTCCTCAGACTCGGAAGTGAAGTCAGTAGGGGTGGGGCTAGTGGCAGGGCAGGGGGCGGCGACGAGCAGACCCCCCTGCGGCACACGGGAGGTGGGCCTCACATCCTGGTGACGTCTTCGTCTGAAAACCTGCCTCTCTTTATCAAGTGCGGTGGTCTGTGAGGGAAATCAACCGGAAATAGGGGTAAGACATTGTGATGGATAATACAGAACAGATCAGCCACTTATCAGAATCCATAACAGTAACAGTGGTGATATTCACAGCTAGAACAGCTCCTGGATAAATCTGCACCAGTGCCATTCGCTTGGAATTATAATGCACTTGTCAGGGAGCGTCGGGGAAGGTCCTGTCACTGTGCACAGCTGCTACATCCAACTAAAAGAAACCCAGAGGATCTGAATGCCCAGCGGGGGTGAAAATGATGTGGAAGGCGGGAGCACGATAGCTGAGGGGAGGAGCTGGTTAGCATGACCCGAGGAGACCACACACCCCCATCAGACAGGGGAAGACACCCAAAAAGACACAATGTGAAGGCATTTCAGGAGGTACAGCAAGACAGCCCACACTACACAGTACAGGTGAGTTTTAGATGCATCGCTTGAAACACTGAGTTTTCACACCAGAATAACAGAGCAGTCAGAGGGAAACGGCACATAGAGCAAGACCCTGTCCACAGAGACACACAGCATCTGTCCTTTCAGCACAAAGGGACTGGCAGCCCAGCACAACCCCACCCACAGAAATACGAGCACAGTGTGGGTGGGGATGGGAAGCAGCTGGTGATGTCACAGCGAGCGATGAGGACACAGAGTGGAAACGTCCAAGGCCCTCACCAGACAGGCGGACAGGGTGGGGAGCATGAAGGCGACTGAGAGAGGGGGCTTCTCCGAAGAGATGGAGGACTGGGCTGGAGTGGGGGATTGGGGGGGGGGGAATGGAGACTGCCAGCACGTTGCCATGGAAACGCTGCGGGTCGGGAGCTGCAGCATGGCGTACCTTATCCAACACATCTCTGGGTGCTGGCAGAAGTCCAAAGACCCTGATCTCTGGAGGGAAAAGCCATGGTCCAGCTGAGCAGAGAGAGACGAGGGCAACTCAGTGGATCAGCTTTAAAGTCCTGATTCGCTGATCTTTAGTCTTTTATTTAAACTCAACGAAAGTGGACAGAGCGATGGGAGAGGAACTGGGGGGTGGGGGGCTGCTGCTGAGCGGTGCAGATGCACAGCCGAAGGACCACATCACAAAAGACATAAAAAAAAAAAAAACGTTAACAGCCCGTGTGCATACAGTAACCTCAGGATGTTCCATGAACAGAGACGATCTAAGGTCATTCCAAGACCAAAATACAGAAATACTGAAACAATACACATTAGTTGTCGTGCGTATAAGGGGTCTCAGCTTCCACCTGGGGAACCTACGCAAACCCTGCCGGACAGCAGGATCTTTAATGGCGACGCCAGTGCTGTCTGTGCAGATCGGCTCCAGATAAGGGGCTGTCTGCAAACAGGTCCCTGCTGGCCCACAGCACACTGCAGTCCATGCTGAGGGATGCTGCAGATCGGCTGCAGGTAAGGGACCATCTGCAAACAGGTCCCTGCTGGCCCACAGCACACTGCAGTCCATGCTGAGGGATGCTGCAGATCGGCTGCAGGTAAGGGACCATCTGCAAACAGGTCCCTGCTGGCCCACAGCACACTGCAGTCCATGCTGAGGGATGCTGCAGATCGGCTGCAGGTAAGGGACCATCTGCAAACAGGTCCCTGCTGCAACAAGATAACCCGGACTGCGACAATAATTATCAAAATGTAGTACTTCTATTTAAATGTCAACTAATATAAGGTTAAATGCAAGGATAGCTGCTATACAACTGTCGTAACTAAAGTCAAATGTCATATCTTTCCTCGATGGAGTAAACCAGGGCTACCCAACTAGTTCCAAGGGGGGGTCAGATTATAAAAACGAAAAGAGTGGAAAAGGTCACAGGGGCTATAGCTTTAGCTTGAGTACGTTGTTACCTCGTAGGTAATTATAATTGGCTGTTAATGTTGATAGGGTGGGAGAAATCGAAATAATTATACAGATATTCTGAAATTTCTGATCAAAGAGGGCCAATAAAAATAAACTGGAATGCCAAACCTGGCTCAGGAACCACAAATGAGCAGCCCTAGATTAAACCCAGATCAGTGTTAATGCGTCTGTGTGGTCACTGCATTGCTCCCTTATCCCACACTGGATTCATGACAACGGTGCTGACAATCCAGAAAACGGGCAAATGAGAAGCCATGGGGGCTGAGGTGAGCACAGGTGGGCCTCGTGTAGAGGAAGAGGATGATGCTGACGATGAAGCTGCGAAGAGGACAGGCAGGACTGACATGAGGACGAGTCGGCGGAGGACTGGGACGCTCATCCCAGCTGACGCAGCTTCAGGAGAAATTCAGGGGACACAGGGGACAGAGACGGATGTCCGTTCCCTAGCTGCAAGCACATTTGGTTGCCGGGGAAGGAGTTTCTCCTGGTGACCAATCAGTTGCCAGGTTGTTTTTACTGCTCTCAAAGTGGACAGAAATGTTCTACCAAAGGGAGAAAATCATCTTCTACAGCAAAGCACTCTTTGGCGTCTTTCAGCATTCATAATTATTCAAATGAACGCAATTTAACGTTTATCCATAGTCACTGACACTACTTCGCTGGGGATTTTTGGGGTCAACCAAAAATACCTGTGTGGTTTGAGCGGAAATGATACTGATTCGAGTCTCGTGATACTGTGCGGTGGAGCCCGATTTATGAAACGGGAAGTTCCCCAAATCTATTTGACTGAAATGTCAAAACTGCTTGCATGGTGGACATGGGTTTCAGATCCAAGATATTCTTCTAGAATAACTAGTTAGGACGGCTATCAGGGTGAAGAGGGAGGTGAATGGGGAGGTGAGTAGGGGTGTGGGGGGGCACTCACAGTTATGACGGACACTCCGGCCGTCGTGCTGTGGGGCTTCGGTCCCGTGTTGAAGTGCTTCTTGATCTTCCCAGCCACGCACAGCTGGTGCTCGTTCTCTGCCATGCCGTCGTCCTGCACACAGGGCGAGTCCCCGGCCCACATCACTTGCCGTTGCTAATCATAGTTTTACACCAACATGAAGATCATTTTCTTTCGACTGCCTAGGACATTTGCACAGTGCTGAATGTGTTTCCTCATATTTGAACTGTCTAATTATTATTAGAACTGAATATTATTTCTAGAACACTCTTAGGAGTTATCACTCAGCTTGGGCATGATCTGTGATGTTTCAGTTGTATGCTATCTGCATATTTGGGGTGGGGTGGGGGGGGTAAGGTTTGGGGGCACTTACATTGACCCAGGGATGGTCCAGCACCTGTGGTGCAGTGAAGCGTTGCTCCACCTCTACCTGCAGCATGCCGGTGATGAGCTCCTGTGGGGTGGGGGGGGGGGGGGGGGGGGGGGAGGCAGCCTTAGGACGGCTCAGAGATCAGAAGAGTCGCATGCAGCACAGCACAGCATCCGCATGGAGACATGCGCAAACAAGGCCCCCTGCACTCACAGACAAACATGATGTAAAATCTGCAATGTGTTTTTTTATTGTTTTACTGCTTGATCTTATTGCTATTTTAGTTATTATCCATCTTTGTTTTAACTGTTATTTTACTGAGTAATACGTTAGTTCTTTGTTTTTACTTTTTTTGAATTTTCCACACATAAACACATGATCACACTGACAGATATAGCTGGTTTCACCCTGCAGTATTTTAGCTGATGTGTCGTGTGGGGGAGGGGTGTTTATGCTGTGAGGTTTTATAAACGGTGACTGAAGGCCTCATAATCGGAGCCTAGCGGGACAGCACACTGCGGCATGCTGGGTATGTCATCATTACTGCGGAAGCTACCACACAGCAGCCAGTCATGCAAGGGCACACGGAGACGCCTGCCGCACGCACGCACCCACCTTTGCCGAGTCCGACACGCTGTCCCAGTATGGCGAAGGAAACTCCAGCTGTCCCATTAATATCTGATCAAAGAGAGCTTCCTGATTGTCACTATTCCTACAGAAAGCAGAGTGATTACTCTCCCGACAATCATCAAAATACCATTCATGAATATCGTTCAGTACTGTAGAAGAGGTTGTATCTGCATAAAGATATTTCGTCTCTATTTCCCATTGGCCACTAGAGGGCGCATTATAACTTATTTGTCTAAGTCTCACACAGTTACTGCACAACAATAGAATAAGCATTCCAGGGCTTCAGAAAAGATTAATGCCCATCATACTTCAAACCTTAAAGAAAAATGCCCACTTAATATGGAAATATCTATTATAAAGTATTAAACACCACAATGAGGTATTTTCCTCATTCAGAGAAAAGCCAGACATTTTATGGCTTCAAATCCCAGGTGAGGACTGCATACAGTACATACCCACGGAACGGGGGGAACCCACAGAGGAGGATGTAGGTGATGACCCCCGCAGCCCAGATGTCAACCTTCAGGCCATACCTAGAAAGAGAGAGAGAGAGAGAGAGAGAAAGAGAGAGGAACAGGCATGTGAGTCTGCCTGTGCATTTCTAACGCCTGACTTCCAGCTGACACCCTCCTCCTCTCATCACTCACCCAGTCTCAGCGATGATCTCTGGAGCTACGTATGTGGGGGTCCCACACACATTATAGAGGGGTCCATCCACCACCGTGGCCAGGCCAAAATCACCCAGCTTCAGGGACTTGCTACCATCCTGATGCTCGTAAACCTGAAGTACCAAACCAAGGAAGAGAGGGAAAGTGCATCAATCCAAATGCCACACTGGGCAAGCAGCTTTCACTGGGTACAACTAGGCGCCATCCCACCAAAGTTCAGGAACCTACTGCCTGGTTCTCAGTTCCTGGGCCGTCTCCACTGAGAACTTTTGTAGCTCCTGGTCACTTTCCCACCGCACGACATGAACTGTGCTATCAACTGTGCTAAATAAGCATTGGAAACGAAAAAGCTTAAACCTCACATGTAATTTCATGCAAAACTACACCACGTTTGATTGCGCAATCGGAAAATACATAACAAAATGCATTTTGTTTATATTTCATTTATATGGCCTGCAACTTGTTTATAATGCATTATTAAATTTGGCCAGCAGATCGATCTTTCGTTTCCTACAGAATAAAACACGCTGTAACATTATCCCACTAATAAGCGCTGACAAGTTTCACTGCCAGCACCGGCGATATTAGACAATAGTATGACGGTTAGTGATCAAATTTTCTGATACAGAAATATGGAGGTGCAACTTCCCAGTTAGGACCGGCACTTGCGGGCAACCAGTCAGCAAAGTTTATTGCTATAAGCCCTGCCCAGTAGCTCTCGGTGAAGTGCAGAGAGGAACTACAATCGGAGTTTCTGCGGTGGGAACACGACAGAAGTTCCTGGTTCCTGAAACAGTTTCCGGTTCCTGAAAAAGTTGGGTAAAGTGCCTACTGTTACCAGCTTTAACTAGATTTGTGTTTTGGTTTTATTTGTTTTTGGGCAACCATAGCAACTGAAGTGGTACTTTTCTAATAGCACTTGTTCAAACAGTGTTAAAGGTCTCCAGTGAGAGACTTGATTTGACAGACTCGGCATCTAGAACCTCTCCAATCCATGAAGAGGTCAGCCTTGAAACAAAGATGCAGAATGTTTATCCCAGTAGGCACAGCAGGTAGCAGTAGTTCACTTGCCTTGTTAGTGAGCTGGCCCTCATTAGCAACCTCGAATCTGGAAGAGGTAGTGTGTATAAATCTTCTCACACGTGACCCAGAGCAAAAGAATCACCTGTTGCATGGGATCGAATCTCCATTTCAGAGCAGATGGCAGTATTCAGCCTGGCTAATCCGGGTGGATACATAACCCTCAGATCTCAACATTGCCCCCAAGAGGCATTATGAAGAACTGAGCCCTTACCAGCAGATTTTCTGGTTTTATGTCACGATGGACAATGTTGAGGCTATGGAGATACTTGATGGCACTGGTGAGGTTATACAGCATTCCGCTGGCATCACGCTCTGTGTACTTGTTCGTAGATGTAATGGCATCAAACAAATCCCCACCCTGGGAACAAGCAAAGGGATACTTTTAGGGTGCTGCTGAAAGTTACAAATAAGAAACATTTCTCTGAACAACAGAACAGTGAACAACAAACAATGGTCTAACTTTTTGGCACAAGCAAGAAGTGCGAAAACACGTTAAAAACAAAACCTAGTGAGATGTTCTCTTGCCTATAAGTAGATGATGCCAAATGTCTTCAAAAGGCAATAATACTCAAATTGACCTATTTTTTATTCCCTTTGCAGAGACAAAAAGTGGAGCAGTAGCTCAATATAGAGCCGCTCTCAACAGAGAACAGAACAATTGGTCTGAGAGGCAAGGGAGAGACTTCTTACAGATAGACCTTGGATTGATCTCAGGGACATGGGTGGGCACATGTGCTGGGGGGGGGGGGTGCTCTGGTGGTCAGAAACTGGTATAAGGTGGGTTTTCTAGAGGTCTTCTCTGAGACAGGTCAGAGGTTTGACATGGGATTTATGGAGGAGTCTACTTAAGATGTATATCTTCAGAAGGATAAAGGCAAGTTTTTTGGTCGTAACAAACATAGGCCTCGTAAACACCAAGGGAGAGAGTAAGTCACAGATGCTAACAAACATTATGCTAACTAAGCAATCTGATTGGTTGACAGCACGTTCTTCACATCTGCCAATCAGTACTATAGAAGCATGTGGTACCTTGACCAGCTCCATGACCAGGTAGAGTTCACAATACGTGTCCATCTCCTCAATGAGAAGAACAATGTTGGGGTGCTTCACTCGCCTGAGGATGGACACCTCGTTCTGGATCATTTGCTCCTGGGTGGAGGTAAGAGGACAGGAACATCTTGCTGTGATGAAGCAAAATTATTTACCGGCACGTCACATCAGTGTTACGGGTTATTATGGGTTACAGTCTGTGTAAGAAACTTTGAAGACTGTGTTGTGTAGAGGCTATCAAAGTAAACCTAAGAAATCCAAGGGTTATGCTACTGGCCCATTAGCCAGTTTTCAGTACCATTACCAAAGGGGTAAAAATCTACATCTCACATAACCATGGTGACAGGCCTCCTACCTTCCCACGGCACTTGCCCTTGTTGATGATTTTAAGTGCGTACTCCCTCCCGGTGGAGCGCTCCACACACTCACGCACCACCGCAAAGTTCCCGTCGCCGATGGTCCTTCCCACTTTATAGCGCTCGGCGATGTAAGCGGGTACCTGGGGGTACTCGTCCATGATCTCCGCTGTGGAACCATCATTGGCATTAACGTCACGGGCACACTTGTGGGTATTTCGTGGTTAAAGCTGGTTGGTCACAAGAACCATTCACAACTCGCTGCATTACAAGCACACCAGGATCAAACATTCTGCTGAGTCAAAAAGGAACAATAATCATTCCAACATATAGCCTCACACCCTGTAACACCAGAAATCACATTATTTCCACAATCACTGTAATCCAGGGGTGATTAATCCAGAAATTAGTAACTGGAAGACTGATTGGCTGAAGAGTCTTCACACTTGTGAACATCTCCCATGAAACACACACACATGTGAAAGGGAGCTTGGGGTCACAGCGCAGGGTCAGCCAGCGTGCAGCGCTCTTGGGGCTAGGGGTTAAGGGCCTACTAGAGAGCCCACAGCATGTGACTATCCTGCCAAGGTTGGGGCTCAAACCAACAACCTTCCAATCCCTGTCGTGTCAGATTCCCAGTGCTCTCACCTTCACTGCCTGGTCCATCTCCCTCATCCATGGAGCTGCAGACCTTGGTGGAGGCTAAAGACAATGAGGAGCCACTGTGCTGGGACCCCTGTGGAGGAGAGAGAGGGCATGAGCTCAAACAGCCATTACCTACAGACTGTGGGTAATCATTCCGGCTTAATCACCTTGACATGTAGCCATTTGAAATGTGACTATCACTGGTTAACAGATAGGAAGCAGCGAGTAGTTATAAGAGGCACAATGTCACAGTGGGCCTGCGTTCATAGTGGGGTACCACAGGGTTCAATTTTAG